TCATCATCATCATCATCATCATCATCAGCAGCATCAATCATCATCATCGTCCTCAAGGCGAGGGCCCTGCTCGTACCCTCCCTCTCCCCCTCCACTCCCCCACCGAATCCCTCCCTTCCCCCTTCCTCTTTCCTTCCCTCCCTCTCCGCCCCCTACTGGACGCCCGCACCTACCAGGTGCAGGGTGTCACGCTCGCGAACACAACATATCCAAGATCCGCCACCGGGCCCTGAAGCTAGGAAGCTGGGCGAGGGCTGGTAAATCCGTGGATGCTAGAAAGTGGTCTTCCCAGAAGAATGCAACAATCAACAACTCAGCGCACGAAATCGTAAACGGGCGGCCCCCCCGGAAGAAAACAACGATTTCCCCAAGCTCCGCTTCAGCAGCCACGGGTTGGCCAGCCTTCGCCTGGCCTCCGAGAAGCACGAGTTGGAGTGTCCTCTGGTCCTTGGCCCAGTGCCCCCAGCCTCCGTCCCCGCTCCCGAGGATCCTGTTGCGGGGGCACGACCCCAGAATGGCAAAGCCGCCCTGGGCTCCCCGCGGGCCCTCCAGTTGGGCCGCGCCGCGTGGTGGCGCACGACTCTTGGAGCCACGGGGGCCCGAAGACGCGCTCAGAGGGCCCCACGAGGCCCCCAAGATGGCCCAAGAGGGCTCCGAATCGCCGAACGGTCGCTCCAAGACGGCCAAGATGGCCTCAAGACGGCTATCAGCCTTCGAGACGCCCCGAGAGAGCTCCAAAAGGCGCCCTAAGAGGGTCACAAAAGCCCGGCCCGTCCCGCCAGCAACCCGGAAGGGACCCCCAAGGCGGAAAAATCTTCCAAGACGGGTCACGATGCCCTCCAAGAGGGCGAATATGTCTGAAGATGGCCTCCAAGATGCCTCCAAGACGGCCAAGATGGCCCCAAGAGACCCAACATGGCCCCACGATGCACCCAACACGGCCCAAGACGGCCAAAAAGGCCTGCAAGAGGTATCCAAGACTCCTTCTAGATGGCCCAGGAGGCCTCCAGGAGGTTCTTCACAGGAAGGCCCGAAGAGGCCAAAACAACTGATGTTCTTAAGTTTTTCGGAGATGTTGATCGTTGCTGATTTTTGGGGCTTCCGACGGCCCGAAACGGCCCAAGAGCCTCCAAAGATCGCCCCAAGACCGCCTAAGAGGCCTGCAAGATGGTCCCAGAACGGCCCAAGAGACTCCAAAGACGGCCCCAAGAGAGCCCCAAGACGGCCCAAGAGGCCTCCAAGACGCCCAGCCCAAGATGGCCTCCAAGACGGACCTGGAGCACGCCACAAGAGTCCCGAGTCGGCCCAGAGATGACACCAAGACGGCGTCCGACGGCGTCAGACGGGCCAGGAATGCCCTAAGACGGCGCAAGAAGCCCCCGAGAAGCCCCCCAAGGCCCCCAAGCTGCCCAAGGAGGCCCCCAAGATGCCTCCAAGAGGCTCCCAGGAAGCTTCCAGGAGGCCCCAAGAGTGCCCCCAGAGGCTCCCAAGATGTTCCCTCCTTTTTCCTCCTCCTCTTGATCTTCCCCGCCATCCTCCCCCAAGTGTTCCCCGAAGGGTTTCCACACCTGCTGGGGGAACACATGGTCCGATAGCTTGGCAGAGCTCTTGCCACAACGCTCGGCCACATGGGCGATTCGAAAAGGCAGGGGGCGGCGGTGATTCGCCGTAGGTGTCTTTGATAATAGCATGTTCAACGAGCGACAAACGGGTGCAATACCGCCATTTTGGCTTGGACGTCCACGACCACCCTCTCGCAAGGGGGTTGGTCCTGGAGAACTGTGAGCTCGACGTGTCTCACCAGTCCTGCCGTCGAGACTTGTCGCCCTTACTGGAGGGCCAAAAATCCCCCCCCCCCCCCCATGATTACCGCCCCGACACGCGAGGCCGGTCAGCGAACGCACCCAAAAAAGGAACAGAACAGGGCACGGCTCCCTATTACAATGCCCAGGGCCGTTCGGCAAACGCCAGGCATCGGTTCCCGGTGGCTTTTCCTCCGCAGACTTGCCACACCCGTTGTCGACATCCCGGACATCGTCATGGGTCCCCGCGGCCCACCCTGGCCACAGCGCCTCCCTCCTGTTCGGCACGCTCTGCTCGGCGGGCCCGGTCGTCTGCTGCTCCTCCCCCTCGCTGCCATCGTCGTCTGTCGGGCGGGGGCACTGCCCATTGCTTGCCCTCCCCCCCCCCTCCCCGCAAGCATGGATTGGCGATCCATGGGCGCGCTCGCCAAATCCATGGATCGGAGGAGGTGCCCTCCCCCGAGTGCGGCTGGTGCCGCCTCGCTCGGCGGCAGAAATCCGAGATTTCCCCTGGAAACGGGACCCGTCGCGAATCCACGCCCCCTTGATCCGCGTTTGCGATCGCCCGAATCGGGGAACATCGGAGCATCGAGAAATCCTGGAGGTCCAGGAGTGTAGGAGGAGGAGGAGGAGGAGGAGGAGGAGGAGGGGGAGGAGGAGGAGTAGGAGGAGGAGGAGGAGGAGGGGGAGGAGGAGGAGGAGGAGGAGTCCGGCGCCCAGGGTCGGTCTCCCGAAGGCCGGCCGTGTATTGCACACGCCCCATCGATCCATGTTTGCGATCGCCTGAGACTCTGCCCCTGCCCCCCAGCTCCCCTTCTCTCCCTCTCCGCCCCCCAGGTGTACAGAGGCCTCCCCCCTCTCCCCCTGCGCGCGTCACAAGGGGCAACGTTGGGGGTCGAGGTCCTCCACGGGCGCTCCAGCCGGCGGATACAAGGAGGTCGGCGCGGTGGAACGGGGTGGGCTGGAAGGGATGTCAGATCTGGAGCGGGCGCACGCAGCTCAGCCTCAACAGCCTCCTCCTCCTCCTCCTCCTCTCCTCCTCCTCCTCCTCCTCCTCCTCCTCCTCCTCCTCCTCCTCCTCTCCCTCCTCCCCATCCCCCTCTCCCTCTCCCTCCCCCTCCTCCTCCTCCTCTTCTTTTTTCTCCTCGTCTTCCTCCTCCTTCCCCTCGGGTGTTCCAAAACTGTGTGGCGACTGACCCCGCGGCGACGTCCAGAACCCGCACCGCGCGGCCCATTAGCGCACGGACCGCGCCGTGATCTCGGCATCCCAAGATGCCCCACCGCCGTCACCCCAAAAATTGCGCGCGGAGGCACTCGTGTGTCCTGTATCATATGGAACCGTTGTCGCCCGGGCCGTAGTTCGCGACCCCTCCCCCGCAACAGCTGCGCACCATGGCGCGCCGTGGCACACGATGAACGAACTCCTGCGCCGCTCGCAGCCGACCCGTCAGCGGCAGACCCACGAGTTACTCCAGCCACAGACGCGGGCCGCAAGACTTGCAATCGCTCGGGCGTCCATCCCCCGTGCAGTGTTCGGCTTCGCGGAGACGCTCCTCGATGCTCCTCGCCGAATGCCATCGCCGAACAAAACATGCACACGTCCGAGCGATGCCAAAAAGGGGAGAAAATTCGGAAGAGGCGGCCGTCGCCACCCTGCCGTAGCACCACGGACGAGGCGCGCCGGGCCTTCAGAGACGCACGAAGAGGGGCCTCGGCGGCCGTTTCGGCAGAGGCCCCTCGCCTCCACGGATGCCCGTCTTCGAGGCCCAAAGAGCGGGCGGCCAGTCCCCAGTAGACGGGGTCCGCGCGATTCGAGCAGGGGCGGGCCGTCCCTGCGTTGCCATAGGCCTACAGCGACATGTTCTGAGAACCCATACATGTTCTTATCGCAAGAACTCTGCACTCTGGAACATAAGCATGGCAGTCTCCGCCAGGCATGTTATAAGCACACACAGCAGGTTCTTGAAGTTGTTTGAGGTGGGCGCGTATTCAAGCCAGGACGATTCGCCACTGCTCGAGTGATCCCTCTCCTCCTCCGCGTCGTGGGGGCGTTGCGGGCCCGCCGCGGTGGGGGGCCAAACCGTGCGACCGCTTGAGCCAAAATGAAGGAAACTGGGGAGAAGTGTTTTGTTTCCCCAAAGGCATCTTGCTTCCAGCGCAGGCCTGTGTGTTCCCGCTGGGTGGCGCTGGTGCCTTTTTTTCGTCCTCCCGAAGGGCATCCTGGCACATTTGCCAGTCACGCCACCAGCGGAGCAAATCTGAATCACGATGCGTCCGCCTCGCTGGGCACACAGGGGAAGGCCTTCGACCCTGCGTGCAGCCAAGCGGCCGAAGGTCGAGTGTGAGCAGCAGAAAAAAAGGCCGGCGCGAGGCCCCATATCGAGCCTGCTGAACAACTCGGTGAAGAAGATTGCGGCGCACAGCTAAATGCAATAAGTGCCGAGCAAATCCGCCGACCCTGTCGGCGTGTGGAAGACGCATCCCGGTGTCGTCGTCTTGCGTGGATCACCGTCGTCGTCGTCGTCGTCGTCGTCGTCGTCGTCGTCGTCGTCGTCGCTCGAAATCAAAGGAAATCGAACACGAAACAGTAGGAAATCGTGGTCGTGGCGAAGCCCCTCCCTACCCTCCCCACCAGGGGGGGTGGTGGGGGGGTGGTGTGTGGGGGGGGGGGGGGCAGATACGCATCCCCCCGGGCGACCCTCTCCCTCCCTCTCTCTGTCCCCCTCCCCCTCCTCCTCCTCCTCCTCCTCCTTCTCCTCCCCCCCCTCCTCCCCCCTCCTCCTCCCCCCTCACCCTCCTCCTCCTCCTCCTCCTCCTCCTCCTCCTCCTCCTCCCTTTCCTCCTCCCCCTCCTCTTCCGCCACGTCTTCATTTACCTCCGACGTCTTATCACGCATCCCGTCACCCTCGGGGGCCGAGGTATCCAGGGTCGGCGGCACTGGCCGCAAGGCCTTACAGCGACAGCAACGGGACGGAGACGCAGGCAGGCTCGGGGCAACCCCGGCACCGCCGACGGCACCATCTAGACAGACTGCGACAGGCTGCCCCGCGGCGCAACAGTCACCGCAGGGGGATAATTACCTCCAGCGCCCCACGGCCGAGCAAGCAGAGGGGAACAAAAAAGGCACAGGTGCAGCAGTGAAAAGGACGGCCAGCGGCCCCATATCGAACCCTCAACACCTGAGCCAGCGCCCTGAGCCTACAGGACGGAGACGCTGCAGGCTGCCGTCTGCGCAGCGCGGGGTCCGCCGAGGCGGGATGAGGCCAAACCCCAACGCAGACGCGCTGCACGGGGTAGGCCTGAGAGTGGAAAAGGCAAGCGCCACTGGCGGGGCATAGCCCCGTGGCACCAGTCTGGACTGTCTGAATCCATGCGCGGGTCCACGCCCGCGCCACCCCGCGACGCCTCGGCAACCGCTCGCAGGCGCCCACTCACTCACTCACTCAAGAGCTGCGCCTGGACGGCGCATCGGCAAAAGAAAAGCTACATGCACATGTCTGGGAGCGGCTACCGTGCCTCGGAGCTCGACCACCGGCAGCCTTTGTGCAAGTGGCGCGCGAGGGTGATCAGCAACGCGGCAACTCGCCATCGCTCGGACGTCCATTCCCTGTGTTATTTTCGGTTTCGTGCGTGGTTTTTTTCGCCAAATGATCAAGGATGCTCCTCGATGGTTCTCGCCGAGAAAAAAACGCACACGTCCGAGCGATGCCAGGGCAAAGCAGGCGCCCACCGTCCGGCAGAGCAGGCCTCGGGCCCGGAGGCAGAGCGGAAGAGGCCGGCGGGGGGGAGGCCGGGCGGGCGGGGCCGGACCGCGCTGCCTGGGCGCGCCCGCGCGCTGCTCCAGCTGCGCCGCCCAGAGACAGGGGGCATGCCGCTGGGGGCCCTCGGGCGAGGCCGCCTCCTGCAATTCGATCCGAGGGGGGGCGACCAGAACTTAGTGGGCCCTGGAAACGACTGGGCCGTTTTTTTACCGGTTCCGTTTTGCCGTTTTCTTGCCGGTTCCGACGCCGTTTCTTTACCGGTTCCGACGCTGTTTTTTGACCGGTTACGGCTCCGGTTCCAATCCCGGAGCCGTTTTTTTTGCCGTTTCCGGTCGCCGTTTTTTTGCCATTCCATTTTCAAGGGACTTTTTTGGGGGGCAACGGTGAAAAAACGACCCTGCCGTTTCCGGGGCCCACAAAGGACCAGAAGGCAGCTTGCCGAGGCCACCTCTTCTGCCCCCCCCTCTCTCGTGAGGGCCTCGGCACTGTCAGGGCGGCGTCTTCACCACATATGGTGCAGAGCCCGCGGCTCCCACAGGAGAACAGGGGAGCATCTTGGGTGTACGCCACAGCCGTGGCGTGCGATTGGTGAATACGCTCAAGACCGAGCCGACATGCGGAAAGGAGAGGCTTGAAGGGGCCCTGGGCCACACAAAGAAATACACACAAACAAAAAGATGCCCCATATTTTCCATATGTTCTGGGTTTTTGTCTTGCCACCCAATTCCCACATTTCCCCATATTTTGGGGGAAACAACGAATAATTGCGTCTGTGTGTTATTTTCCCTCCTGAACGCTGGCAGGCTTCGCGTTCACGAGCAACTGCCGCCTCACAGGCACGAGCGAAGGTGAAACATGCTGCGCAACGATATACCTGACCGCACCGCTGAACAGCTCTTCGGCACGAGGGCCAGGACACGAGGCGCGAGGAGGAGGAGGAGGAGGAGGAGGAGGAGGAGGAGGAGGAGGAGGAGGAGGAGGAGGAGGAGGAGAGAGAGGCAACGGTGGAGGCAAAGGAGCAGGCAAAGAAGGGGAAGAAAAAGGAGGAGGAGGAGGAGGAGGAGGAGGAGGAGGAGGAGGAGGAGGAGGAGGAGGAGGAGGGGGGGCAGGGGGAAGGGGAGGAGGAGGAAGAGGCCCTCGTCTCCCCCGAGGAGCCAAGAACACGCTGCCTGGCCCCTGGCTCCGGCCCTCGCCCGGCCGACTGGCGGCGGGTCCTCCGCAGCCGCAGGCCGCAGACCTTGCAGACCTTCCACAGCGCCTTGCTGACGTCGCCCGCCTGCAGAAGATCGATCGGGCGTTGGCAGGACTGGACTCTGTATTAAGTCGGGCGTGTCCCCATACGAACAATGAAACATACCCCCCAAAAGACCCAAAGAGATCCAAGAATAGTCAAACAATAGTCCAGGGACTATGTTTGGACTATTTTCTTACTATTTTGGGGGTATTTTTGATTTTTCGTCGAAAATCCCACTGTAGGGGGACAGGCCCGAGATAAGTTTAGTGGGACCTGGTTTAGTGATCTGTGCTGGAGGAAGCCCCTCCCGCCCCATTCCACTAACCAGAACTGCCGTCACCCGAAAAACACCAGCTACGGCAGACCTGGTTTAGTGATTCTGGCAAATTTAGGGGCTCCGGGGCCCCACCACTGACCGGGTCCCCTTACCTGGGGTCCTGGCTATACCCGAATCGAGAGTCTCTGAGATCTGGCGACTCTGGAGGATGCCTCAGGTGCGGCGGCCTTCTCTAGAGGCCTCCCAAATGGGGTCGGAGTGAATGGGGCCGAGGGATCGTGCCGCAAATCCGATGAATCGGCGATGCATTGGCGATGCACCAGCGATGCATCGTCACGTGGGTGACGCATCGGCGACGACATGAAGCAAACCGGGCTCCACATCAAGCCGCATCGCTGATGCATCGACGATGCATCGGCGATGCGGCGCGATCCTCCGACCCCATCTACTCGGACCCCATCTGGGAAGCCTAACATGAAGCAAACCGGGCTCCACATCAAGCCGCATCGCCGATGCATCGACGAAACATCGGCGATGCGGCGCGATCCTCCGACCCCATCTACTCGGACCCCATCTGGGAGGCCTAACATGAAGCAAACCGGGCTCCACATCAAGCCGCATCGCCGATGCATCGACAATGCATCGGCGATGCGGAGCGATCCTCCGACCCCATCTACTCGGACCCCATCTAGGAGGCCTAACATGAAGCAAACCGGGCTCCACATCAAGCCGCATCGCCGATGCATCGACGATGCATCGGCGATGCGGCGCGATCCTCCGACCCCATCTACTCGGACCCCATCTGGGAGGCCTAACATGAAGCAAACCGGGCTCCACATCAAGCCGCATCGCCGATGCAGCGACGATGCATCGGCGATGCGGCGCGATCCTCCGACCCCATCTACTCGGACCCCATCTGGGAGGCCTAACATGAAGCAAACCGGGCTCCACATCAAGCCGCATCGCCGATGCATGCGACGATGCATCGGCGATGCGGCGCGACCTCCGACCCCATCTCTCGGACCCATCTAGGAGGCCTAACATGAAGCAAACCGGGCTCCACATCAAGCCGCATCGCCGATGCATCGCAAATGCATCGGCCGAGGCGGCGCGATCCCCGACCCATCTTGCTCGTACCCCATCTAGACGGCCTAACATGACGCAAAACCGGGCTCCACATCAAGCCGGCATCGCCGATGCATCGACGATGCATCGGCGATGCGGCGCGATCCTCCGACCCCATCTACTCGGACCCCACCTAGGAGGCCTAACATGAAGCAAACCAGGCTCCACATCAAGCCGCATCGCCGATGCATCGACGATGCATCGGCGATGCGGCGCGATCCTCCGACCCCATCTACTCGGACCCCATCTGGGAGGCCTAACATGAAGCAAACCGGGCTCCACATCAAGCCGCATCGCCGATGCAGCGACGATGCATCGGCGATGCGGCGCGATCCTCCGACCCCATCT